AAGATGTGTGTCTCTAGGAGTCTGCCTAGCATGGTTTCATTCCTTCCACAAGAGGTTTTAACTAGTGTCTTTATGCTAGCTGTCCGCTACTGTAAGAAAAATGGTAGAGAAGAAGGGGGGACATGAGGGAGGAGTGTTAATTTCACTCCAGGTACTCGTTGAAACCACAAACTTATTTATTTCGTGCATATCATCGTCTAACATGACGAAAGGGACTAAGGTGACCAAAAGGGTTACCTTGGGTCTGATAACCCTGTGTTGTCTCCGTCTGTTCCCTGCTCTTGGTGGATAAATTGCGTATAGCGGTTACAGAAAAGCAAAGGGCAGGTTAGTAAACATTACTTGTGCCAGATATCATACACCCCAACTCAGCTTCCCTGGGGCTCTCCTAATGCGGTTAGAAACATAGCAAGCGTGCTTAGTATAGTGTTGTATATACGTCGTGTGTCGAACACTCAGGTCGACTTTTGTCGTGGGAGATGTACTTTGAGGAGCCCTAGCCGTATTGTTGTCACCTTTTCCCTGGGAAACTACACCATCATCCTTGATGATTAAACCACTAAACCAGAGAGTGGCTGGTGGGGAAGAAGGGGAGGGGATCCTGATCCCTCACTCCACGTATACAGGTTAAAATGGTACTTTCACTCGGTCACCCTAGTTCCTCCGGTCTGTCTGAGGAGGAATTGATCTCGAACCCCATCCCACTCCTCCCACCGTTGCTGATGTTGTGAAGCGTTACCCTGCAGGTGTGAGGACATTCTTTCATACGAGCAGATAGAATCCATTCTTTGGGTTGTGTCCATGATTGGAGGGGCTGAGATGCTATTCCAATGATGAGCAATACTAATTTTAGCTGCTACTAGAAGGTTTAAAATGACTGTTCTGTTTGGCAAGGTTTTAAGGTGAGGGAACATGTGATGTAGATAATACTCGGGCATCCTGGGGCGTCTGAGCCCGGACAATAATTCTACCATCGTTATTATAGAGTTCCAGAACTGCTTTAGCTCTGGGCTTTCCCAAAAGATATGGCTAAGAGAGCCGATGGCTGCTTGGCAGCTCCAACAATTAGGGTTTGCATCCTTGTATATATGTGAGAGTCTGAGGGGCACCAAATACCACCGCATCTGCAATTTGGCGTGCGCTTCCCACATGGATAGACCTTTGGAAGCTGCTTTAGTGTATCTAATCCTTGGAAACGTATTTATTAATTTTACTTGCTCTGTCTGTCTCAGGTAAATGATATGGTTTTTTATAGAAGCTGTTGAAAGCTCCCCCCGGTGCTATATACACTTCAATGCCCTTTTCTATTATTTGATCTTTTTTTCCACTTGGTTAGTTAGTATCCGATCTGCTGTTGCTTCCGTAATAGAACTTTGCTTTCATATCAAGGATATTATTATCTATTCTTTCTATAGTTCTAGTTTTTATTTTATTTTTTTATTTTCCCTCAATTTGAGATTATTTTCTCTATTGGAATTTATCTTAAGGTCATTAGATATTTTATATAATTGGATATACAGCTCTGATAAACTTTGTCCTGCTTTCTTTTTTTGATTTTCATTAATTTAATACAATGTCCCCTAATCACCTACTTGTATGTCCACCAAACCGTTACCTCTTTAACCTCTGTGGTTTGCCTCTCATTAAAGAAACATGTTGACATCTTTTCTAAAAACTTTCTATTCACCTTCTGTGCTAAAAGTGTTCCATCTAACCTCCATGTTACTCTAGGATGCCCCTTTTTGTTATCTTTTATTTCCATAACAACAGTATTGGGATCTGACCAGATTATAAGTAGAGAGGAATTGGTAAAAGCTGTGTCTTTATTGTTCCAAAATTAGTTAAAATCTACATATAAAACAATAGCAAGCTGCCAATGACTCTCTGACCAAACTTAACGCATTTCGCCCGGCCTTGGGCTTCTTCAGAAGTACAGATCCATATGCATACCTGTCCACATTATATAGGTACTCACAAATGAGTTCATAATAGTCCGGTGTGTACACACTTCCTGCTTCCGTCAAATCGCGTGCGTCGACCGGAAGTAGCGCATCGCGATACTCCAAGAATGATGGGACATGTAGTCCAAGAATAGCTGTAGTCACCCATGGTTGCGCGCGTCACCTGGAAGTGACGTAGCGCAACTCGCGATCCTAGATGGGAACTGTAGTATTTTTCAAGTGATGCTTTGTAGGAGTTTGTCCATCAGTCTATCGAATTATTAGAATCTTGGGCCTCACCAGGGTGGAAATAAATACTTATATACTAAAGTCAAAAGTGATGAAATTTAAAAGAACAAATATCAAACCACTTCTTTATATCTCAGGCAAACTTTGCATACTTTGCATATATCATTTAATCGGTAGTAAAGAAATAAACTACAAATTTTGTAATAATAAATATATACTAAAAAAGGATAATTGGTCCAATGCAATGTATAGCAATTCAAAAACAGAGCGCATTGACATACATAGTATATTACAAAAATATTATATGCTGGTAGTATACTCATCCAGCTTTAAAATCCAATTGCAGCACAGGAATCAAACACTTTTGTGTAAACCATAGTGATAATAGCAAAACACAAATGTGTGACAAAGTGAATAAGTGCAATCCCCATGGGAGAGGAATGGAGATATGTATGATCAAAATATAATAATAAAATATATCTATATATGCATATACATATAAAAAAAACATTTATATATAAACATAAAAAAACTTTTATTAAAAAACAATAAAGAAAATGGAAAAAAATAGATAATAGTCTTCATTAAAAATTATATAAAAATACATCTATAAAAAATTAAAAAGATCAAATTCCGCATTTAAGCCTTTGGGGTACAGTGTGTCTTAATAGTAGACCCACTCCATCTCTTTTTTACCCAATTTGTTAACAATGTCTCCACCTCTCCAATGTAGGGATAGTTTAGTGATACCCATAAATAAATGCCGTGGATCATTATTGTGCAACTCAAAGTGGGAGGAGACAAGGCGATTTTTAAATCGACACATATGTAAAGAAAAATTGAAGAAATAAAACAAAATTTTATCCATCATATTGTAAATCGAGTGCAATAGATATATATTCGAGAAAAATGGATCTAAGAGTATAAGAGATTTAAATACTAAAAGTAAAGGTGATAAAAGCAATCTAACGAAAAGAGAACGAGAAAGTTTAAAAGAATTAGTTAATTAATTAGACAGAGTGATGAATCTATTGTGATCAAACCGGCAGATAAAGGAGGAGGTTTGGGAATTTTATCTGCAGAAATGTATGAGAAAGAGGCGTTTATCCAGCTAAGTGACAACACCACATATACAAAAACTTTTAAAAGACCCCACCCCTGAGATTAGGATTTTACTAAAAGAATTTTGGGATCAAGGAAGAGATAAGAATATATTGAATACAGATGAGTACAATTATCTAAATAAAAAATTTCTGAAAATACCAGTGATATATTTTCTGCCAAAAATTCATAAGTGTATTGAAAACCCCCCCCGGAAGACCAATTGTCTCTGGCTAAAATTCTATTCTTTCAAATGTGTCAGAGTACATAGATATTATGTTGCAGCCTTATGTAAAAATGACACAATCTTACCTTAAAGATACCAAAGATTTATTAAACAAATTAGAAACAATACATTGGGAAGATGATTATGTACTGATCACTTGTGACGTACAATCATTATATACTATTATTCAACATACAAAAGGATGTAATGCTGTAAGAACAATTCTAGAAAGGCACAACAATATGAAAGCAGAACAAACTGACTTTATAATTAAGGAAATAAATCTAATTTTGAATAATAATTATTTCTGGTTTAGAGATTCATTTTACAAGCAAAATAAAGGCACAGCAATGGGGACCAGGTTTGCACCCAGCTATGCCAATCTCTTCATGACCGAAGGGGAAGAAAGAACAGTGTAGAGGGGGCATGGCTGGGTGGAGAGCTTGGTCACCTATTTTCGCTATATAGACAACCTTTAATTAATATGGAAAGGTTCCCTTCCTCATGCAAAACATTTTATAGAATTTTTAAATCATAATGATGATGGTATTATTTTAAAAGCAGATTTTAGTCAAACAAATGTCACTTTTTTAGACCTTGATATCTATATTAAAGATAATAAAATACACACGAAAACCCATTTTAAAAAGGTTCATGTTAACAACTTTATAGAGATGGATAGTTGTCACTATAAAAGCTGGCTCGACAGCATTACGAAAAGCCAACTCCTTAGGTTAAAGAGGAATTGTTCAGAAGATTGTGTTTTTAAAACTCAGGTTAATGAAATGAAAGGTAAATTTATTGAGAAAGGGTACAACAGTAAAATAATAGATAAAACCATAGAAAAAATATCATGCATGGATAGAGAGACACTAATTAGAAACAAAGACACAAAAGGAAAGGATGTAAATGAATTTGTGTTACCCATAGTTCTAGATTATAACAATAAAAATAAACAGTTAAAGAAAATAATTAGAAACAATTGGCATTTATTGAAAGAGGATACAGTATTAGGAAAAATTATTCCAGACCAACCAAAAATAATATTTAGAGCGGCCCCTAATTTGAAAATGAAACTCACCCCTCCACCTCCGTCCCCAACACTCCTGGCTACTTCGGTATCAGACCAGGCACATCCCGACCAACCCGTCCCTACATACACAGATACCACACCGGGGCGTAAAACCCCAGAACTCAATCCTGGAAACGAAACCTAGGCATACACACCCTCACCCCCCTGCCTCATCCCCCTCCCTTACCTTATCCCTCCTCATAACCAGGCGCACCGCCCTAACACATACACACGAATAACCCCAGAAAACAACACCCCCTGTGAGAACATCCAGACGCTATGACTGCCAAACTCACCTGCATTTCCATTAACTGCAAAGGCCTCAACAATCCAGCGAAGAGACACCAACTCATTAGGTGGGCGAACCGCACAGGAGCAGATATAATACTTCTACAAGAAACTCACTTCACCCAGACCAAACCGTTTCCCCTCCTCAGCCGACACTTTAGAGAATGCTACACTGCTAACTCCCCCAACACCAAACAGAATGGAGTAGCCATACTGCTACGCAAGACATGTCCCCTAAACGTAACACAAGTCATTAGAGACCCCCAAGGCAGGTTCCTGACACTCACAGGCCAGGCAGGCCCCAACAAATATGCCATCACAACACTCTATGCACCGAACATCCCTGACAAATCATTCTGGGATACACTACAGGCCCACCTGACACTGACCCCAGGCCACCTCAAAATTATTGGAGGAGATTGCAATGCTACGTTGTCACCGGCGACAGACAGACACCGCACCCGCAAACACGGGCAAGACACAGCCCCTACAACCAAAGTAGATAAACTGCTACAAGCATTCACCCTCCAAACACGATTGGTTGACGTGTGGCGAGCTCTACACCCAACCACACATGACTTTACATTCTTTTCACACCCACACAACTCTTACTCACGTATAGACCTATTTTTGATTTCCCCCTCCCTCCTACCCATGGTCCACACAGCCACCATAGGCAACATAACATGGTCAGATCACGCGGACATAGCCCTAACAATAAAAATCCCAAACGTAGCGCGCCCCTGGACCTGGAGACTGAACCCGACTCTGCTACATAACCCCCTCCTGAGAGACACCATTCACAAAGACTTGTCAGAATATTTTACCAATAACGCACCCTCAGCACCCTCCCCGGGAATACTATGGGCAGCACACAAAGCAGTCATCAGGGGGAAATTAATTAGCCTAGCCGCAGCACATAAGAAAACTCAACTAAAGTCACTAGCAAAATCCCTGGAGGCCCTCAGGAACCTAGAAACCGAACACAAACAAAAGCCCACCCCTGACATTCTCGCAAAACTGACAGACTGCCACAAGCAAATTAAAGACTTCATGGCCAAGGACTCGGCCAAGGCATTACAATGGTCAAAACAGACCTACTATGAAAAATCAAACAAGGCAGACACTCTGCTAGCGAGAAAACTTAAACACAGGACAGACCAAAAAAGAATAGACAAAATACAGACACCGGAGGGAATCACACACTCCCTCCCATCAAAAATAGGCGAAGTCTTCCAAAAATACTTTACCACACTATATGACCACAACCCAGAAGCGAGACAACACCCGGACGTAATGTTAGAGTCCATAAACACATATCTGCAAAAAATACCACTACCAGCCCTGAAACCAGAAGCGATAGCTAAACTAAGTGAACCTATCACCATAGAAGAAGTGGCCACAGCAATTAAAAACACTAAACCCAATAAAAGCCCCGGACCCGATGGTTTTTCGGGTCTTTACTATAAAACCTTCCCAACCACACTCCTCCCACACCTATGCTCACTCTTCAACTCTGTGATACAGGGAAATCCGCTACCACCGGACATGCTCCGAGCCAACGTGTGCCTCCTCCCTAAACCAGGCAAATCCCACCTGGACCCAAGCCACTATAGACCAATCTCTCTACTGAACGTGGACGTCAAATTACTCACTAAACTACTCGTAAATAGGATAAACCCATACATACATAAACTTATCCACCCCGACCAGGTAGGTTTCATACCCCACAGACAAGCATACGACAACACAAGACGGACCTTCGACCTCCTCTGGACCGCAACACACCGACGCATCCCAGCCCTCTTTCTCTCACTAGACGCAGAGAAGGCTTTTGACCGACTCCTATGGCCTTTTCTGTTCGCTACCCTCCGCAAATTTCGGGTACCCCACACAATTCTCAACGCACTTCAAACTTTGTACTCCTCCCCAGAAGCAAGCCTCCTCATCCCTAACACACAACCCCCCTCCTTCCGCATCTTCAATGGAACCAGACAGGGATGCCCCCTCTCCCCACTATTATTCGCCCTCTCATTAGAACCCCTCCTCCAAGCCCTCAGGTTCGACCCTACAATATCGGGCATATGTATAAGAGGGGAGGAATACAAAGTTGCAGGATACGCAGACGATCTCCTCCTAACCCTCACCGATCCAACACAATCTCTACCTCCACTCCTTCACGCCTTGGACGAATATGCCAAAGTCTCAGGTTATCGCCTTAACCTAGATAAGACAGATGCCCTACCTGTCCAAATCCCAGCTGACGAGCTATCCCACCTGCAGACCAGCTATCCTTTCCATTTCAACCCATCTCATATACACTACCTAGGCGTCAACCTCCCAGCAGATGTCACTCAAACATATCACCTAAACTATACCCCCTAACTACAAAAAGCGCTGGCAGACCTCAAGACATGGGAGACCTACTCGATCTCCTGGCTGGGAAGAGTAGCCTGCATCAAAATGAATCTTCTACCAAGATTCTTGTACTTGAATCAAACGCTACCAGTCCAGGTATCGATCAAAGATTTCAAAGGCTTACAAACGCAGATCGACCGCTTCATATGGGCAAACAAACGCGCCAGGATTAGACGAGACATCCTATATCTCCCGACCAAGGCCGGGGGACTGGGTCTACCTCATTTCCTACACTACTTTCATGCGGCCCAACTAACCCAAATCCAGGCATTACACGCCCCCATAGGACTGAAACGGTGGGTATATTTAGAGCATGACTTATTTGGCAGGGACTTCCCCACCCTATACATATGGCTGCCACGGCACGCACGTCCAAAGGCCCCGCAGACCACACCAGCACTCACCACTTCCATAGCCATATGGAATAAACTTTCTTTACAACACGCGCTCACATCGGACCCATCACCCCTGGCACCAATACTAAGAAATGAACAATTCTTACCGGGCATGACCCCGCGTGACTTTGTTCGCTATGAGGATAACAACCTCCACAGAGTATACCGGTTCTACAAGGACCAACGACTGATTCCGTTCACAGAACTGCCCCAAACAGTGCCACTCACCACACGCGACTATTTCCGATACATCCAGATAAAAGACTTCCTAGAGACAACCGCCTACAAACGGGCAGGACAAACCCCTCTCACCCCCTTCGAACAAGCTTGTATTCACACTCCTATACGGAAAAGCCAAATCTCCATTACATACACATGGCTACTCAAAGCAACACAAAAACAACCGCTTAACTACGTCACGGCATGGGAAAGGGACCTGGGCCCCCCCACCGACCCCTCAGACTGGGCGACCATCTGGGAGGCCACATCAAAAATAACAATATGTGTCACACACAAGGAACAGGCCTATAAGACCCTCATGCGATGGTACATTACGCCACTAAAACTCAAACAGATGGGACTATCCACCTCAGACAGATGCTGGAAAGGCTGCGGCCAACAGGGGACATACTATCACCTTTGGTGGGAATGCCCTCTTATTACACCAATTTGGAGAGACATAGCGACACTTGCATCACGGGTCCTACATGATACCATCCCTACAGACCCCTGGCTATGGCTCCTATCCAAACCTCTACCAGACACACCCCGCGCACACAACAAACTTTTGGCCAAACTAGCCCTAGCAACAAGGAGAGCCATAGCTACCCACTGGGGGGCGGCTACGATCCCAACAATAACAGACGTCAAACGCAAAATGAATGAGGCGAGGCTCATGGACGGAATGTCAGCTCTCATTCACGAGACCACAATACATTGCGACAAAATCTGGGACCCATGGCTCGCGGAGCCCTCAACCCACACCTAATACACAACGCGGTGCGCCATCCCATTCCACCCCCCCTCTCCCCATAATCTAGCAACACACCCTCCCCCTTATCCCTAACTCAGTGCCCATCAGCGGACCCCCGACAAGGCAGATAACAACCACACCAAATCACTGCCACCACATGCCTAGCATCCCCCCAAAGTAATCACACAAAGAAACAAACAAACCCCACAGACCACCGGAAGATATGATACAGAAACGAAACAGATGATCCTGAGACCAAACCTCCTCTCTTCCCGACTGAAACCCTACCCCAGGGAAACTAAGGCAAAATCGGCAACATAAAGCCAAGATACTACCACAACATAAGGGTACCATCGTAAAGATGCAGTATACCCAAACTACTTCAGGGAAAGGCCAGCAGCCAGCGCACAGGCAAGCAGATAAAAAGCCCCCAACACCCTGTCCATCACAACTGTACGGTATCACCCACCATAGTCTAACAGACGCTGAATGAACACATAGGGAACGAGATGACTCCCCATAAAACGCACACAAGCCAGACAATGACACAAAGCCCTACTAAACGGACGCACAAGTCCCACAATCCCCCCCCCTACCATTTCAGGAACACACCCAAAACGGTATCTCCTGAACTTGAACCCCACGACCATAGAAACAATCTGATACAAGAGATACAACCAATTAACAAAAAAAAAAAAAAACACTGACAGATCAAAACACCAGCTGAAAAACCAACGACTGAAAGAAACAAAGAAAGAGAAAAAACAGGCTTCTCGAAGAACAAACGTACTGCTAACCAAATAATTGTCTTCTTTCTGTATATGCACAGTTCTTCTTTTTTTTTTTTTGTACCACAAAAGCCCGGCTTTTGCACAAGCCGATTACATGATTCTATGTTTACAAGTTGTATTGTATGTCAATGCATAAATAAAGAATTATAAAAAAAAGAAAATGAAACTCACAAAGAATTACACTAAACAAAAGAATTCTAAAGCACTGAACAATTTTTTAAATGACAAAAATGATATAATAGGCATAACTTGAACATGGTGGGATGAGACACATGACTGGGCAGTTAACTTAAATGGGTACATGTTATTTAGGAAGGATAGGAAAAACAAGAAGGGTGGTGGGGTATGTTTGTATGTCAACCAGGAGTTAAAGCCAAATCTCAAGCAAGTGGAATGTGATGAGGAAAATGTGGAAGCTTTATGGGTAAATATCTGAGTGGGGCAAACGAAGGGAAATCAATTATTGATTGTGATATGTTATAAACCACCAAATGTAAATATTGATGAGGAAGAACAGCTGTTAGAGCAAATTGAGAAAGCTGCAAATCTGGGTAACACTTTAATTATTGTAGATTTTAATTACCCGGACATAAATTGGGACAGAGGGACTAGTAGCTCAGCAAAGGGAATTAGGTTTTTAAACTTGTTAAATGACACCTTCATGTCACAACTTGTACAAGCACCAACTAGAATGGACGCTTGTCTGGACCTGGTTTTAACAAACAACGTTGATCTTTTGACCAACATTCAAGTAGGTGAGCACTTGGGAAATAGTGATCACAATATAGTGTCCTTTGAAATAAACTCAAAAAAAAAACAAAAGCACATGGGGAATACTAAAACATATAATTTTAAAAAGGCCAATTTCAATAAGTTAAGGGAAACGGGGGTGTTAGTTAATGAAGACCAGGAAAAGGCAGGAATTTTAAATAACTATTTCTCCTCTGTATATATTAAGGAAGAACCCATGGTAATAGATGTGCAAATGATTGCTACTAAAAACTTGCAGAATAATTGTAATTGGTTAACTCAAGACAAGGTGCTGCAGCAACTAAAGAAAGTTAATATAAACAAAGCTCCAGGGCCTGACGGTATCCATCCACGTGTACTTAAGGAACTAAGTGCAGAAATAAGTGAACCTCTGTTTTTAATCTTTCAAGATTCTTTTCTTTCAGGAAGTGTTCCGGAGGATTGGAGGAAGGCAGATGTGGTTCCTATATTCAAAAAGGGTTCAAAATTCCTTGCCTGGAAATTATAGACCTGTGAGCTTAACTTCTGTGGCTGGTAAAATATTTGAAAGGTTATTAAGGGATAATATTCAAAAATTCCTTGAGAAGAACATGGTTATCAGCAAAAATCAGCACGGTTTTATGACGCACAGGTCATGTCAAACTAACTTGATTGCGTTCTACGAAGAAGTAAGTAGAAGTATAGATCAGGGTGTTGCAGTGGATGTGATCTGTTTGGATTTTGCCAAGGCATTTGATACAGTTCCACACAACAGATTAGTGTTCAAACTCAAGGAAATCAGACTAAATGAAAATGCTTGTTCTTGGGTAGAACATTGGCTTAAAAACAGAGTACAAAGGGTTGTCATTAATGGTAAAATTCCAAGCTGGACATAGGTGGCAAGTGGTGTCCCTCAGGGATCTGTTCTGGGACCCCTTCTATTTAACATATTTATAAATGATCTTGAAGACAGCATTGAAAGTCATGTTTCAGTGTTTGCAGATGACACAATCTTGCAATGTGAGCAAGATATTACTTTGCTGCAAAGGGATTTAGATAGACTGGGGGAATGGGCACTCAAATGGCAGATGAAATTTAATGTTGAAAAATGCAAAGTTATGCACTTCGGCGTAAATAATACACAAGCAACGTATACCCTTAATGGAAGCGAATTAGGGATAACAACACACGAAAAGGACTTGGGAATTGTTATAGACAACAAACTATGCAACAATGTGCAATGTCAATCAGCAGTGGCCAAGGCCAGTAAGGTATTGTCATGCATGAAAAAGGGCATTCATTCTCGGGACAGAATATCATTTTGCCTCTTTATAAATCACTGGTAAGACCCCATATTGAATATGCTGTGCAATTTTGGGCACCTGTTCTAAAGAAGGATATTATGGCACTAGAAAAAGTGCAGAGGCGGGCTACAAAATTAATAAAAGGAATGGAACATATCGGCTATGAAGAAAGGTTAACAAATTTAAACCTATTTAGTTTAGAAAAACGTCGCCTGAGAGGGGATATGATAACATTATACAAATATATTCGGGGCCAATACAAACCATTGTGTGGAAATCTATTTACAAACCGGACTTTACATAGGACACGAGGCCATGCGTTTAGACTGGAAGAAAGAAGATTTCGTCTAAGGCAAAGGAAAGGTTTTTTTACTGTAAGAACAATCAGGATGTGGAATTCTCTGCCTGAAGAAGTGGTTTTATCAGAGTCCATACAGATATTCAAACAGCTACTAGATGCATACTTGCAAAAACAGAATATTCAAGGATATAATATTTCTATGTAGGGTAATAACTGCTTGATCCAAGGATAAATCTGACTGCCATTCTGGGGTCAAGAAGGAATTTTTTTCCTAGCTTGTTGCTAAATTGTGCTTCAAATTGGGTTGTTTTGGCTTCTTTTGGATCAACAGCAAAAAACAAATGTGAGGATTGCTGAGCTTGATGGACGCAAGTCTCTTTTCAGCTATGTAACTATCTAACTATGTAACTATGTAATAAAAAAGTTTTTTTAGGTATAATTGCTGTGTAGCATGTAAGAAAACTAAGAAAATAGATAAACATACTCTGCACTTTAAATCAAGCAATACAAACAAAAATTCCGAAATTAAGGACACAATTACGTGTTATAGTAAGAATGTTATCTATCTATTAGAATGCCCCTGCGGTCTACAGTACGTAGGGAGGACCATAAGACCTCTAAAGACCTGGATTGGGGAACACTGCAGGAACTGTCACATCCTGCTCTGTTCTGTGGAGATGTCTGGCCTTGGTTTCTGGTATCCAGTACTCTTTTTACAATTCTTGTTTAGTTTCTCTTGGTTTTCTGGTTTTCTATTCTATGTCTGGTTTTCCTTATGCTGGATTTCTGGGTTCATTCCTGTATTCCGTCCCTGGAATTCCCAGTGTCCAGGGTTCCTTTAAATGTTTGCTTTATGTTGCCACCCGTTTGTTTTCCATCATTCCTTTTGTTTTAGTGTCCTGCAGGCAGCTGCTCAAGCCTTCTGCCCTTTCTTGCAGGTAAGTGTTATGTGTGTGTCTTCTTTGGTTGTTTTAGCAGACATTAGGCAGTGTAAGACCTACCAGATATGGGGTACATTGGCGTTGTTGGCAGGCTTATGCAATGTATGATCATATAATGTGACTACATCCCCATACTTTTCATATATAGTGCTTAGTTATTTCTCCTCTTGTTTTGCCTATCATATATTGTCTTGTCTTGTTTTTGTTTGTATACCCAGTCCATGTACAGTCCTGTCCTTCCCATGTTATGTTCATGTTTCCCTCGTGTCTTGTGTACATGTTCTGGGTTCTGATTTTTGTCCTGCTCTGGTTCTGGGTTCTATTAGTTCTGTCTTGTTTTCGTGTTTGGTGCCTGTTCTAGTCTTGCCTTGTTTCTGTACTGGATACATGCCTGCTGCAGAGTCCCCCTATCCAGTTCCTGGGAGGTCTGCATATCAAGCTCCTAGTTCCTGGATCCGCAGTAGCTGCATCAGGGTTCTGGTATGTGACCGCGCAAACGCTGGTATTCAACATCAGAGGGCGTGTGGTTACCCTGCACCAGGCCCTGATAATCCACTTCCACGCTGGAGACTCACAACTTTTCATCAGGCACTCAGGGGTCCCGGTTTCCGTACCGCCACCCGTGACAGGAACTTTGAGAAAGGATTTAAAAATCGCCTTGTCTCCTCTCACTTGAGTTGCACAATAATGATCCTCGGCATTTATTTATGGGTATCACTAAATAATCCCTACATTGGAGAGGTGGAGACATTGTTAACAAATTGGGTAAAAAAGAGATGGAGTGGGTCTACTATTAAGACACACTGCACCCCAAAGGCTTAAATGCGGAATTTGATCTTTTTAATTTTTTATAGATGTATTTTTATATAATTTTTAATGAAGACTATTATCTATTTTTTTTTTTTTATTATTGTTTTTTAATAAAAGTTTTTTTATGTTTATATATAAATGTTTTTATATGTATATGCATATATAGATATATTTTATTATTATAGAGAGCAAAAAATGGGTCTCAAGAGTATTCTGAGAACGGACAGCAGCTAAAATAGCCTGCCCTTCGGTGGGTCCCCGCTCAGAACTCAAGCTGGTTTTAGCTCATCTTGTGCCATTACAGAGAGAACATATCTGAAGCATATCAGACTGGTCCCACCCATACGGGCAGTCCAGATCTGAAATGCCAGCAAGTCCGCTCTGCACGAGAGATACAGCAACCCAGATGATCGTTTCAGCCTTGTTAAGCATCATCAGTGAGGCATAGCTGATATCTCTCTAGGCACCGTGAGCAAGGGGACCAATTATCCTTTTTTAGTATATATTTATTATTACAAAATTTGTAATTTATTTATTTACTACCGATTAAATGATATATGCAAAGTATGCAAAGTTTGAGATATAAAGAACTGGTTTGATATTTGTTCTTTTAAATTTCATCACTTTTGACTTTAGTATATAAGTATTTATTTCCATCCTGGTGAGGCCCAAGATTCTAATAATTCGATAGACTGATGGACAAACTCCTACAAAGCATCACTTGAAAAATACTACAGTTCCCATCTATGATGGCGAGTTGTGCTATGTCACTTCCAGGTGACGCACGCAACCATGGGTGACTACAGCTATACTTGGACTACATGTCCCATCATTCTTGGAGTATCGCGATGCGCCACTTCCGGTCAACGCACGCGATTTGACGGAAGCAGGAAGTGTGTACACACCGGACTATTATGAACTCATTTGTGAGTACCTATATAATGTGGACAGGTA